TTATAAAAAGGGTAAATGTGGATACAGGCATGCACACAGGGTGCACACCATGTGAAGATGAAGGTGGCGGTTGAGGGGATCCTTCTACAAGCCATGGAATGCTGAAGATTGCCAGCAAACCACCTGAATATAGGTGAGAGGCATGGAGAGTTAGTCTATCTGGTGATATAAGAAGATAGCATGGGACTCTAGGAGATTGGTGCAAAAACTGCTGACATGATGCACGACTGGGTTGTAACTTGAATAGAAACGGAAGTGAAGGTGGAAAAGGGCTGATAAACAGCCAGTCTGGGAGGCATCGGGCCATTAAGTCTCGATGATCTCAAAGAACTGATAACAGGAATGACAGAGGGTAGAGTTGGAAGGAAGGTTAAAGTCCTAGAATGGTATGTTTGAATTTAAGATTTTTAGAGTGAAAGAGTTCCAGGTAGTAACAGGATGTGTGTGGTTAATCCGGGGGTTAAAGTCTCTGATGAGAAAGAGGAAATGACCAAGTCGTCAGTAAGTGACAGTTCCAACAAAGCTTAGAGGTTGACACAGCTGATGACGTGAACCATGAAGGAACAGTGAGAGTGAAAATGTAAAGATCTGAAAGTGGTTCTGGGACAAAGGGAAGATCCATCAGTTGTTCTAACACATGTCTGGCTGTCCCTGGTCATCTCCCTTCCAAAAATTAGCTCCCAATTTTTTACTCCTATATCCCAAGAAATTAGGTCCTTCAAGATCCTTTTCTTTCCTTCCAAAGAACCCGTCTGGCAGGGAAACAATAGTGAAGACACTTAGAGGCTAACGGGTAAGACAGCAGAAAAACTGGGGTAACAACTTTCGCTTCATTATATTTATATGTTTCAATTGTCTACTGGAATCTCCAGCTGAAGGTATCAGAAGCTTCTTAAGCGCAATACATATGTCCAGAACAAAACTTAATTTATTCCTTGACACATTATACCATTTCTCCCTATATAAACTTTTGCTTCTCCTTGAGTATCTTCTCCCAGAAAAAGACACTACCCACCCTCGTACACAACTCCTTTCATAGTTTTTTAATTTTTTAAATCCATCCAACTGTCTTTATATCCAGTGCTTCTCCTCTGCTTCAGGCTCTCATCACCTCCCACCTGGATTATTATAACAGTCTTTCAGTGATCTCCCTAATAACTCTACCTTTATTTAAAATTTTCATAAATTGTTCATCATGGATTTTTTGCATTAATTTTTAATTTAAAAAGAAGATATTGCTTTCAGGACAGCTGGTTAGCTCAGGTAGTTAGAGCGCAGGTCCCAGTGCTCATAACACTAGGGTTGCCGGTTCGATTTCCACGTGGGCCACTGAGGTGCGCCCTCTACAACTAGAAGGAAACAACTGCTTGGCTTGGAGCTGATGGGTCTTGGAAAACACACTATCCCCCAATAATCCCCAATAAAAATATTTTTAAAAGTTGCATTAAAATATCATTCATCTTGTTTACAGGGTGTTTTGGTGCCTCCTTAAATTGTGCATAAAAAGCTAGTGCTTCACTCACTTGTCCCAGCCCTACCTACTACCTGTAGTCTTATCTCCTACAATTCGTTTCCAATCAGCAAGGACAGTCAACTAAAATACATATGATGATGCCACATTCCTGCTTAAAATTCTTCAGTGGATCCCTCTCAGGTTAACTGAACAAGACCTTAATAAGATCAGTCTTTCTCTGGTTCTTGCTTACTAGTTTAGCCTGTAGTATAGGTTTCTCCCTCCTTTACCCATCATCACCACAGCTAACATTATGTACACGTATGAGCACAGAACAAACACTTTGTTCTTTGCACTTTACATGTAATTTCTCACCCTATCTGATGAGGTGAAGTAAATACTATTATATTCTCTTATAGCAAAGACATTGAGCTAGAAGATTCCACCACTCCCTTCCTTTAGGTCTCTTTTAGGCTTTTCCACATGTTTCCTCTACCTGGAAGACTCTCCAATCTCCTTCTGTGGTTACTTCCTATAATAGGTTGAATATGGCCCCCCAAAGACATCCACATTCTAATCCCCTAATCCTGTTACCTTACACGGTAAAACAGACTTTGCAGATGTGATTAGGTTTAGAACTTTGAGATGAATTATTCTGGATGAATTTGTCCTGCATGAATGAAATGAATAAATTTACCCTGGATTATCTGGCTGGGTCATATGTAACCACAAGAGGGAGGCAGGAGGGTCAGAGTGAGACAGAAGATGTGACATGGAAGTAGAGGTCAAAGTGATGCCATTGCTGGAGGGGGACCATGGGCCAAGGAATGTAGATGGCCTACAGAAGTAGGAAAGGGCAAGGAACAGGTTCTCCCCTAGAGCATCCAGAAGTAACACAGCCCCGCTCACACCTTGATTTTGGGCCTCCAATGTCCAGAACTACAAGATAGTACACATTTGTGTCGTTTATCTAGTTGCGATATAATTGACATATAACATTTTATTTCAGGTGTACAAGGTAGTGATTTGATATTTGTATGTATCGTAAAATGATCACTATAAGTTTAGTTAACATCCATCACCACACAGTTACCCTTTTTTTCTTGTGATGAAACATTTAAGAAAGATATACTTTCTTAACAACTTTCAAATATACAATACAATATTATTAACTATAGTCACCAGGCTGTACAAATGTGTGTTGTTTCAAGTTACTAAGTTTGTGGCAATTTGTTACAGCAGCAATAGGAAACATCTTCCTCAGGGAAGCCTTTTTAGGTCCCCTCAAACTGAGTTAGACGTTCTTCCTCAATGTTCTCCCCACACCCTGTCCTCTCTTACAGCACTTGTCTTGCTGCATTGCTTTTCCCAGTTAGAAGCCCAGCTCTAACCCTAGACTCTAAGTTCCTCTGACAGAGATCACGTTGTTCCTTTGTATCCCCAGAGCCTAACTTAAAGATGGACAGCTGCAGCTCAACAGATATTTGCTGAGTGAATGAATGAATGTGACTTCTCAAAGAAGGCTGAGATTATGTGTTTATACTAAAGTCACGTAGAGGCTATTAAGTTTAAAATGTAACTGAATTTGTCTTCCTGGCAAGGAAAAATAAAAATAATAAAGGCACGGAGTGGGCTTTTTCCTAAATGCCCCATGAAGACAGATGGGAGTGGTTACCTTCACAACAATGAGAAACCTGCTTTCCTCAAAGAAACAAATGAAGCAACAAAGCAACAGAGACTGGAATGATTAAGAAAATTTGAGGTTTCAGAGGGGCTTCTAAGTTTTTTTTACATATAAGGCATATACTTAGATATATGTACCAGCCACCAGAAGTTTTTATTCCTGACAATGGTGAATTGAATGTGGCTGTCCTGAGCTTGCTACCATTAAATGTGACTCCAACGTGAGATAGGGCAACACAATCCTTTATCCCTATTTTCCTTTTGTTGTAAATCTTTGTTATTCTCCAGTTACATAATGTAATCTTAGTATGTGGATTCTCAAAGGAAGAAGTCATTGCCGAATTGGGAGAGGTCATTACAGAGTCACAGGAGTTTCTCTCCCATCCTCTGTTTCACCAACTGTTCAGAAGTCTGACAAGGAAGGTGCAGCTGGGTTTTCTGCTCAAGGCATCACAAGGCTGAAACCAAAATGTCAGCTGGACTAACTTTGTGTCTGGAGGCTCAGGGGAAAACTTCACTCCTAAGCTTATTGGTGCAGTTGGCAGAATTCAGCACCTTGCAGTAAAACGACCGAAGTGCTAGTTGCTTTCTGGCTGACAGCTAGGGGTTTGTCTCAGCAACTGGAGAGGCTGCTTTTAGGGCCTTTCCCCGAGGCCACCAATGTCACTTCACAATGTGAATGTGTACTTTCTTCCAGGTCAGTCCAAGCACAGTTCACGAGGAGCCAGAGAAAACTCTCTACTTTTTAAAGAGTTCATATGATAGGTCAGGCCCACCCAGTTAATTTCCCTATGTTAAGATCATTTCTGTCATGTAACAACATAATCACCAGAGGAAAATTTGTATTCAGTCCCAGAGATTATCAGGGCATGCACAGCATACGGGTAGGAAATTTTAAGGCCATTTTAGAATTCTGCTCTCTACACCACTACCCATGCAAGTTTATCAGAATGGGGAAAGGGAGTATATTTGGAAAACAATCTAACAAATAAACAAACAAAAAACATTTACAGTGTTTTTAGTACTTTCCCCCACATTCCCATAGAGAACCACTCCTGCAGTGGAATTAAACTTGAACAACTCAAAATTATATAATTAGTTTCATTTAGTGTCATTAATATGACTAATTCAGTTCTTCCAGCGTGACTTTTAACTTTTTCTGGTTACACAATTAGCCTGTGCAGGCTACCCCTGCTGGGCAGATGAGTTCAAGTGCATTTAGCTCATCCATAAACAATAACAAAACATTTTTCTGGAGAGCCAACAATACCAGGTGGTAGTTGTGTTATGATACCAGAGTTTTGTAAGATGTCCTACTGGGAAAAAAATGGAGTAAAGGGTACATGGGATCTCTCTGTATATTACTTCATACAACTGCATGCGAACCTATAAATTCCATCTTAATATTTGATTAAAAAAATATCCATTCTGGGTGGCACATTAGATCCCGGTGTCACATGTCAGATATCTGGAACACAGGCATTGGTTTTGCCCTTTCCGGAAAAAAAGAAGGATGAATGGAGGCAGGATAGAATTGGGAGCTTGAGGAGTGGGCAGGGGATCTGGAATACCCTAAGTGAGGGATCAGATGAGGGCTCAGTGAAAGATGAACAAAAGTAATAGTCTCTTTCTCAGCAGTCTTGGCAGTTTCTAGATTTCACAGAGTGGGCAAATTGGCTATTAATGTTTTGGAATTAGTACATTGTTTAGAAGATTAAAAATACAAAGCTTTTTCTCAGTTTCAATTATATCATGCAGACAACCAGATATTTTAAGTAAAAACATTGTGACATTTGTAACCACATAACAGAGAATAAATTTTAAAAAAAAAACAACCTTTTAAAGCCCCTAGGGGGCGAGGTACCTATTTTCTCCTAGACGCTGTTTCTGTGGTTCCAGTCCCCATCGCCAGGTGACAAGGAAGGCCCGCCGGTGTGTTCTTCTCTATGGATACAGTTCCCCCTGGCAAGGGAAGCAGAGAACTGAAATGAGCCTTTGATTCAGTCAATTATAATTTGTACTATAAAACGTATTTTAAAATAACTAGTAACTTTTACCTGTCACATAATAAAAACGTCTAAATAAAAGTACTATATTCTATGATGGACTTCAGTCTCTAACTTATTCGGTTTAACTCCAAACAAAAATTTGTAGGAATGGTCCAGATGCCACCTGTCAGCTATTTTTTCCCTTACATCTTAGTTATTAAATCTTCATACGTTGTCACTCTAAGCCTATAATAATGAGGTCATTGACTAAGGTGTCCTCACTCTGCTAATCCCGGCTTATTTTTCACAAAATAACTAATCTTCAGGGAACACCTCAAACCATCAGTTTTAATTCTGAGTCAGAAAAACAAAAAGTAGAGAAAGTTATGGATGACGTGGCCTCTTGGAACATTAGATTTCAACATGGGCCATGTAACAGTCATTCTCTTACCTGGAAAGAGATGGATTTGATACACTGTCATTAGAAGCTCAAGATGCCCCAAAGCTAGGATTATTTGATTATCAATACATAACTTTTAAAAACTAAGACATGGTCTAGGGGAAAAAGTATGCAGGTTGTTTTTGTCCTTGTGTCTTACTCTATGTCATGAGAATTTTTATATGCATGTAACTCTTTAATTAAAGGAAGCCCATCTTTCAAGGCTCTAAATATACAAAACCAAAACACTTAAATTTGATGTCATTTTAGGCATCAAAGTCACTTTGCAAGGAGGGAATTGATTAGGTCAGGACAATGGGTCCTGATCATAGATGTACTTTTCAAACATTGAAAACAACTAAGGCAAGAAATTTCACCAGCAGATAGCTTTTGCCCTGTTGGGAATGCTGCCCAAGACTACGATGTTAGAGCCAATTTATCGGACCATAGAGTGGCAAGCCATGCAGAGGAGACCTGAGACCCCTGGCTGACAGCCAGTGCCAAGCTGCCAAACTTGTAAAGGCACATTCTAGCCTAGCCAACCTGTATGTAGCTACATGAGTGGGCCCAGCAAAACTAACAGAAGAACCATCCAACCAGCCACAGAACTGTGAGCATAATAAATTCTTGTTAAGTCACCTAGTTTAGGGTGGTCAAAACAGATTTGAATAATTGAGGAAGAGTTCATGGAACTCAACGTGTACAAAACTCGATTAATTTTTCTTGATTTTCAGACTTTTATTATTTATAGTAATAGTGCCACCATTTGTCTTTTACTGTTTTGAAACAAGAGACATGTTTTTTTCTTCATCTTCTTTATTTCCCTCCCTGATATACAGTGTCTTTGAATCATCATTCAACTTTCAGTGTAGTAAAATTTTGCTCTAATTATTTTTCTTTCCACCAAAAAACTCCTTAAGTGGCTTCCTTTGCCTACACAATAATGTTCTGGAACCTTAGCCTTATTTATTGAATCGCCTTCTTCCCAATTCTGGTTGCCATGCATATTTCCAGGCATAACCTATCTTTCTTTCAAGTTATCACTTTTCTCCAAAAACCCCAAACCCAGCCAAATTAGCCTAGTCATTCTTTCTAGACTATGCCATAAGCACTCTTTCTTTTTATTTTTTTTAGATTTTTTTTTTTAATTGGGGAACTGGGGGGATGGGAACAGAGCTGGGGAATTGGGGGAAGGGCAACAGACAAGTTGCTGTCGTTTTTTGTTCTTCAGTCTAGTTGTGGAGGACGTTGCTTCACTGGCCCAAGTTGGCACCATCATTNGACGGCCGCTCACTGCGGCTGCTGGCCGCTCACGCTGGCTGCTGGCTACACACGGTAGCCCATGGCAACCCACTGCAGCAGGGGCTGCAGCCCACACTGTCGCAGGCGACTCACAGCAGCCCAGCTTCAGGTTGAGCCGTTGTTCAGCATCTTAGCTGTAGAGGGCAGCATCACTGGCCCTCATGTGGGATCCGAACCGGGGCCCTCTGGCATCCCAAGCCAGTTCTTAACCATTGCGCCACTCGGCCGGCCCATAAGCACTCTTTCTTAATGCTTTTGCTCTTAATTATTTTTTCGCAAATGAATTCCCACTACTTAGATCTTGCTCATGCAAAAATGTCCAATTCAAATTCTACCTCCTATGTGAGGCTTCTTCTACAATTATTTCCAGATTATTTTTTTAACTCCTTTATTATTTTATTGTCCAAACCAACCAGTTAATATCCACTATTTAGTCATTTATTATACTTATATTTTTCATGCATAAATGTTTTATGCACACATCTAAATTGCAACATTCTGGAGATCAAGGTCCATGTCTTAGGCCTTGTGTAAATATACAGTGTTGTCCATAAATAATAATTGATGTTGAAGGAGATAGTTAAGATTTAGGTAGGTGGGCAGGGAAGAAGCATTCTAGAGGAACAAGAGTAACAAGTGAGAAAAACGTATAATTTGTTCCAGAGATGGGAAAGATAACATCAAATGAAGGGTCAATTTAATTATCTAGCACCACCACCAACAAAAGCAGCACTCAGCTATTGTATCCTCTTCCCCCTTGCTTACATTTCTTCAAGGCACAATGGTACTCATTTTTGCCTCAGGACTTTTAACGTGTGGAAAATATGATCACTGAAATATAATTTAAAAATTATTTTGTTGCTTGCAAGAACTGTGTTACAGGAAGGAAAGAGGGGGCGTGTTCACTTACGTAAGCAAATTACCACCATACCCCAGTTCCTTAACGTATAAAATTTCAGGATCTTATACCTAAGTCCCCCCTGCCACTCCAGTTGCCTTGTGGTTAGCAGGGGAGGAAATGTCTCAAAACATCCAGCAGGGTGGGGGAAGGGAGAAGCCTGCAGTCAAAAGTTGTCAAGAGCTCTTTGAAAGGGGTGCTCTGTGCATATACTTGAAAGGGTCACAGAGTTTAAAACACTGAACTACTATTTAAGTGAGTTCTTAACTTTCTCCAACAACTGACACATAACACTTTCTTCATTCAACAAATTTATTTATTCAATAAATACTCTCTGGGTGCCAACTATCAGATGAGCACAGTTCTAGGGGAATCATGCCTTATAATAAACAAAAATTATACACACAAATTTGAAAAAAAAGTAGGAAATGAGAATACTGACCAAAAGAAAGCTGGTATAGCTATATTAATATAAATGAAATATACTTAAAGGGAAAAAATATTACTAGCAGGTCACTCCGTAATGTTGAAATGTTCAATTCATCAGGAAGCTATCACAATTTTATTTCCGTATTCTCTGAAAAACAGCCTCGATATATATAAAGCAAAAAAATTGACAAAACTATAATGAAAATAAATATATAATCATAGTAGATTATTATGGAAAAGCTCATTTCTTTACCACCCCTTTTCTCCCTACATATTTGCATTGCTCACCCCCTTTCTTTTTTCAGACATCTCCTCAGAGAATTATTTTCAAATTTTTACATTTAAAATAGTGTCTCTATCATTCTTTTTTTTTTTTTTTAGCTGAGCCATCCTGCCACCTGTTGGCAGCACAGCAGCAGCTCAGCTCAGCCTGGGAATTGAACGGGTGGCCCTGTTGCTCAGAGCTCACACTCTTGAGTGAGCTCTTAACCAACTGAGCCACTCGGCCAGCCCACTATCATTCTTTATAGTATTTACATACACCCAATGCTATAGTATTCATTTATTAATTTTTTCCCTACTAAAAGTACTCCATGAAAACAGGGATAACACCTTGCTCATTCCTCATGAAATCTCTGGTTCCCTGAACAGTTTCTGTCACATAAAAATGTTTGCTGAATCAATGAATAAGTAAATAATAAACAATTGCTGGATACTTCTGTGTACAATAAGGAGTCCCTTTCTTATTTATGGGTGACGTTCTAAGGCCCCTTGTAGGTGCCTAAAACTACTGATAGTAATGATGCTATACTGCAGCGGTTCTCAACCTGTGGGTCGCGACCCCTTTGGGGGTCGAACGACCCTTTCACAGGGGTCGCCTAAGACCATCGGAAAACAAAAAGATATTTACATTACGATTCATAGCAGTAGCAAAATTACAGTGATAGACTAGCAACAAAAATAATTTTATGGTTGGGGAGTCACCACAACATGAGGAACTGTATTAAGGGGTCACGGCATTAGGAAGGTTGAGAACCGCTGCATACTGTTTTATCCTATACATATATACCTATGATAAAATTTAATTTATGAATTAGACACAGTAAGAGATTAACAACAACTAATAAAATAAAACAATTGTAACAATATACTGTAATAAAGGTTATGCGAATATGGTTTCTCTCTCGTGCTCTCAAAATATCATATTGTACTGTACTCACCCTTTTTCTTGTGAGGATGTGAGATGACACAATGCCTGTGTGATAAAATAGAGTAAGATGAATGCTATAGGCATTATGACATAGGATTAGGCTACTCTAAGGGTTACTTGAACACAAGCACTGCAATACCACAATAATCAACCTGATAACCAAGAGGGCTACTAGGTGACTATCGGTTGGGTGGAGTATATAGTAGAACATGGATACACTGGACACAGGGGTGATGATTCATGTCCCTGGCAGGACGAACTGGGATGGTGTGAGATTTCATCGCACTTCTCAGAACGGCTTGCAATAAAACTTACAAATTGTTTATTTCTGGAACTTTCCATTTAATATTTTAGACCATGGTTGACCGCAGGTAATGGAATCCATGGAAAATAAGACTATGGATAAGAGGGGGTCTACTGTACTAGAAACTTTAAGTGCATTATCTTAATCTTCCCAACAATCCTTTATTTTACAGGAATGGGTTAAGCAATTTACTCATTAATAAACGAGAGTCAAGACTTGAATCCAGGGATATTGTCTCCTTGCGAGTCCTTGATACTTCACTGAACTTGGGAATCCACCATAGGATCTTCTTACATGGGGATATGATATTTTATTCATTCAATAAAAATGTACTGAAATGCCTACTGGGCATAATGTGTCAGAGATGCCATGGTGAGGCAGAAGTGGACAGT